AAAAGTCATTAGGCTTTTGTATATTCCTATTCTGGCTCGAAGTTATCTGCCACTATAGAGATATTCTGAATTCTTAAAATTTGAGTCCTCCGTTCAACAGCATCAAACTGTTATGAATTTTTTGACATTCTCTCACGCGAAATGCCAGTTCCAATGTTTTAATTTGAAGAATAAAAACATGGGTTGTTTGAACCGTTTGCGAAGAACTTCAGTGAGTTACCGCTTCTTTGGCGTATAACTCTTTTGACTCTTTTGAAAGATGCAAGCAAGGATTAAAGATAAATGTGATTTGATGAAAAAGACCAATTGAAATACCCTGTACCTGATGATTGTCTTTTTATCCTCATCGATTACCTCAGCTTTGATATTGTATCCATGTTCGTAATAATAATATTGAAGCATTTATTTTTGTTGTACTGAGCACCGAGTGTTTCATCATCGAAAAGCTTTCGTTTGTGCTCGTCTTGTAGTAAATGCTGCTGCTACTGTGCCTAACTGAGAAAGGCAGTGGTCATATTGCACTCCGAAAGTGATTGTAATTCTAACGATGAATAAAGTGTTAAATTTAATAACGTTATTGTTTTCTGGAATAACTGTTTGCTTTTAATGTGGTGTTTGTATGACATTTTTGTTTTTATTCAGCGCAGTTTTAATAAAAACTTCCCTTCTCGTAGAAACACGAAGACGAAAGAGATATGGCCACCCATACTACATGGAACGCTTTACCGCATGTAAAAAGGATTTCAGGCTTAGAACTTTTGAATTTCCTGCTCTGTGCTGATCATCTAGGTGCTCATTTGCTGAATCATACATGTTCATATTGGCGAAACATGAAGCGCAGTTCAGCTATACAGTTCTTTTGTCGGTTGTTCGTAAAATCTCTTCATCAGTCATATAAATCATATGACATGCAAACTATTCCATAATCTGGCAATCCACTGAGTAACCATCATAAAGTTCATGTTCTTCGAAAATTCTTGAACTGGTTTCACATCGTTGATACACCCAAACATTTTCGATAACATTCCATCAAACAACCAAAAGTGCCGTGCTCTGTAGGAAAGGGAAATCACCTTTATGATATCATCTTCAGTTGTGAGTTCACCCGCTTCGGGATCAGTAGGGTAATTATTTGTTCTCAAAATAACAACTCTCTCATCATTTTGGCAAATTTCTTAGCATTGCTTCAAATTTCTCACATCTGTTAAACTTCGGTTAACCGTACAAGTTAAACAAATTTAGACAAGTGAAGGCTGTTTTTTACAGCGGTTTTCATAGGTAGTGAGGGTGGTTGTGAAAACCAGTTCCTTTCTATGTCAGCGTCTGAACAAACTTTCCAGACTTCTGCGGGTAATCTAAATTTCTTCGACACTATGGAGATCAACATAGCGGTCGACAAATCTGTCGCTTCTCCAATCAATGAAAACTAATACGTCTTTCATACAGCATAGATTTTTGAAGAATACCACGTTGAACGCTGAATTGATTCATTCAGTTCGAAGAGAGAAACAACCAACCGTACCACTGATCCTGAAATGAACCACTTTGTCCAGTCAATCATATGCTTTCGAAGACCGTGACGTTTCTTATAATGTGAACATCACAGTGCAAAATTGCAATTTCTGAAACTTCAACCAAACTCAAATCCCATTGTCAATAAGATGTGAAGTCATTCTCGAAGCTCCATTTCTGTTCAGCTTTCTGCAGATTACATTTCTCCGGAAACGAATAGCACGAAAAGGTCCGCGGAAATACTCTCTGTCGAAGATTTGCATATGAATGCGTTTTATCCATTGAATATCAAAACATCATAGTTTTATCAGTCTGTACCAAACTTTTAGCCCTATGGATAAGGCATCCTCAGCAAATATTAAAGAGACAGTTGACATTCGCACAAGCGAAATCAATTCATTGTTGTTCTAATGAGTTCCGTTAGTGGAATGAGCGGAAAATCTTATTCAAACTATAACAGATATTTAGTTGACTGCTCAGGTCACCTGAATACTTCACTTTTGCTGTCTTTAAATGAACCAAATAATCATTCAGTAGTTTGGTAATGAGTTTCGGTAGTACTGTTGTGGAGATGGTATTATGCACAACGTCAAGGATGGTTGTTATGGAAAACGCAAACACAGAGGCATTTTGTGAAAAAATGCATTTAAAATGTATACATATGCAAAATAACTTTATCATAAGTTTGAGTCTTTTAATGAGGAGATAAGATCAATCTAGATCGATGCGTACATAACTGCAAGACGTGGCGAGTAGGTTCTCTTCTGTACTTGCATAATTTGCAACAGAAATCGGTTTTCTCATGACTAACAAGAGGTAGAGTACTGAAATTGAAAAAGAACAAATAGGTGGTATTCAAAATGAAACTAGAGCTGTTCTTAGATTAAGAAGTGTATTCTAAAGAAGAATAAAATATAATTGCTGAAAAAGCACAACAAATACTTCAGTTAACAGATGGGCTCCGTATGAAATCTCCTCATTAGAGAACTGAAACTGAGTTCGCCGGTATGTGCGTTTACGCACGTTCTAAACGCATAAATTCACAAAATGTCTCTTTGTTAATCATTTTTCAAGCATTTGCCAGTTCCTAACATTCATCCTAAACGTTGTGCACAATGCCAGTTCCACAACAACGTCAGCGAAACTTATAATGGTAAGCACTATGTTATCGCTTTGGTTCAGTAAACGATTATTTGACTTCATCAGTTCATTAATGGACAGCAAGAGCGAGGTAAGCCATTTTGTTTGGGTAGTGCAAGCAGTCACTAAACCATTTCTGTTGTAACTTTGGTAAAACTGGATGAAATTTTTTTCATTTGAAGATACGGAAGCTGTTGGAATGATAATCAATTGAACTTGCTTTCTGGAATGTGCTGAGGATTTGTTGCAACTAGTAAATCTTGGAATGTACGAGCATATGATAGATAGAAACAGACTGATTGATCAAATTCATGATTAACTCACCAGAAAAGCGAGGTAAAATTGAAAACATGGGTTTGAATTCGATGACCGCTTCTTCATTGTGAGCATCGACACAATTCAGATTGAAAATGGGCCATATAGCTATTACTTGATTTTTCAATAATCTGTTGATATTTTCGGCGTTAAAATTTTTGTGTTCACTTCTTGGTCACATAGTCGGTTTTGCTGGAACGATAAGGAAATTTTATAGGAGAACAATACCGTATGTAAAAGCAATCTGCCATTTGGAATCAACTCGCTACTGGGAACTGTTGAAAGGTGAATCTTCTATGCCATTAATTGAAACCAAGGCATTTATAGCAGAATCACGAGTCCCTTGAATATTTACGCTCATCAGCGAATATTTCAAATTCTGAATAATTTTCCATTCAGAACGATGAAAATGCTCAATTCATGACTCATTTATAGGTTCATTAATCGCCTCATTCATCGATCCAAGAAAGGGTTACGACCTTTCACCACGGAGTTTTGATGGCTGTTTTTTGGTGACCTTGAATGGAACTGTAGAATTTATGCCCTAGCTATTCATATTTCAGGTCAAAAGACGGGTTTAAAGATTAATTTTCTTGCCGCCGAGAGGATGGGCTACTTTGAAAGTTTTCGCTCTGTAGCACTTCTAGCTTAATAATTTGATGCCTGACGTGTTCATGTATTATGTCTCCCTGATTTCAGTGACGATATAATAGTGTCACAAATGATTATATTCATTATTCATCTCTTTTTCTTAACGAAACCGTCGAGTCTAATACTGTGATATTTACAAGGTGTTTCTGGTAACAAAGGTTTCCGTTTGTATTGTGTCTATGACGACTATCATCCTTAGACTTCTGAAAATACAACCAGATCAGTCATCCTGATCTGATTCTTCAAATCAATGATTCTTCAAGTGTTGAATTATTATTTTCGGAATATTTTCTGCTGTCATATCAATATTCATTTCTACTCTCTAAACATGGTTTTGTGGAGATTTCAGAGTTCCACAATCGAACGACTGCTCCTCTCCATGGAAAATGAATTCAAACTTCCATAGCCGAAAAATCAAACTTCCACGTCAATCGAAATCCAAAAAAAAAATTGTGAAAAGTGATTATGAGGACAGCATGATATGTCAATGCAAAATGCACTACAAAAGCTGGCATCGAACGATTGATCTCCATAACTACAAGGCGACATTACGCTAACAGTCCTTCAGAACTAAAACTTTCAAAGTCACTCGGTGATAAGAGAGTCGATTTTTAAATCATTTAGGATATTAGTATCTATGGCTCAGTTGCAGTCAGGGTATCGAACTGATGCAGACACAAAAAAATTGCATCGATAATGTTAATAATTTCGATTTAATAAGGACAGCTGCAACTCATTACGAGTACATGTCTCAATTACATCACTGATAATAGCTCAATAGCATCCACTGTGCATTACTGACCGGTATATTCAATAAATACTCGACTTTGGTGAATCTTCTGTTCATCTCATTCTTTTTGGTGCTTTTAGAGACAACCGGGCTATGTGGCAGCGATCGAAGCTAACTCTAAAACACGATTAAACTCATCATTTAAGCCTACACCGTTTTTGTTATCGTATTCATGGGACCAAATGTCTTGAATGGTGGACCAGCCTAGCCATACGCGTATTCAAATTGACTGTAGAATAAGCAATGCGAAGAGGTCGTATAGCGGAATAAATACATTCTGTGAGCAATAAGAGCAGTTATGATCTATCCGATTCTGTTTCACTGAACGCATCAGTTCCACCTCACATGAAATATGAACACGGCTGAGATGACCCAATTCCTCCTCCTCATCTGCTTCTTCTGAAGCATGAAAGTGAATTCTGAAATTGAATATTTTGTTGAACTGAACAGTATTACTACTTATGATTATGATTGTTTTTATTACAATTATTGTTAGTAATAATAATAAATGGTAATAATAACAATAATAATATTATAGTGATAAATAATGTGCAATAATAATAAATAAAATAATATTGTATCATTACTAATAATGAAGATGATCAATGACGGTGGGGATCTCGTTATTATGGTCGTGGAAAATGATCGAATGAAACCTAATGATGATGTATTTAGCGTGCAAGAGAGAACAGGTGGACTATCGTATGGAAGAAAAAGAAGGAGAAGTTCTTTCAGTGCAGAGCAAGTAAGATGAACAATCTTATCTAGCACCCATTTCTCAACTTACGATAGATAATTGATTTGTTGTTAAGGTGTGTCGATTGGAGGTTGAATTCCAGAGGCAACGATATCTTTCAGCAGATACTCGAAATAGACTCGCGCTTGCACTTGGCCTCAGTCAACAGCAGGTAGTATTCGGACTGGCTCAGCATAGAGTATGAACAGTTGCCGTGCTGACAGCATTATATGCATTCGAATTTACTTCTATGAATTTGATTCTACTACTGAAACAATTTGCATTTAAAGATTATTTGAAGGTGAAAATATGGTTCCAAAATCGTCGTTACAAATCAAAACTGAAAGAACAAGCGAGAGAGAACGCTACACAAAACGAGAACGTGGCCAGTGAAAATGAGAATGGTGGAAATTTAACGAGACCAGTGGTTGTACTAGTTCGCGATGGTTGTCCAACATTTGAATATTTTGTAACCACTTTCAAATATACCACAAATGATTCAGAATGATTGCAGAGTGAATATTTTGAACAGATTGTCATTAAATTATTATATGAATTTATTATTTATGCACTGGTAGTGATTATTCATTTGTACAAAATGAAATCACATTTTCATACAAACCATTTGAAGGAAATATCGTGTTCTATTCATATAAGCTGATCATAATCTCAACATGAATCTAACGATTTCACAAATATCATATGTAATGAAATTCACCTTGAAAATGTCTCAAAATGCTTAACATCGAAGGTTTGTATGAAATGTGAAATACAGATGCATTGAGGTGACTGTGCAATACTAGGTAAAAAAAAACAATAATACAAATGTAAAATGTGTTCATAATGAACTCTTTACAGAATTCAAAAAATGGAATTCCAATACATTTCTATGTGGCAAAAAAATTTTTTCAGATGTTGACCATAACTCATTCAGTAGCTTCAAAAATATTAACACCATCAAACCATTCTATGCCAAATAAAATGAGTGGATATAAGAGCACAAATACATACATATAGCTTCAAATATATAGACAAAATGCATCCACACAATAAGCTTTTCAGTGAATTGATTGTAAGTTTGTCGGCGAAAAGCAGCTTAATTTAGATACGAAAAGTAATCATGCTGGTATGCATTTTGCCGCAATATGAACATCAGCAGAACACAGCGTCAGCGAATAAACGGAAAAATATAAATGCAAAAAGTGATAGCAAAATCAAATTAACGTTTCGTAAAAAGTGTCATGTTTTGTGGACAAGTCAAAATTCATTGAAAAACAACGCTAAGCAATAGTGGGTTGAAGTGGTCGTATTCTACAGACATATCAGAGGCAAGAACATGATGAAACGATCATTTTGGGATAGTTCTTCAGAACGACGTTATCCATTTCGTCGAAGTATAGCAAAGTTAACGAGTCCATCTTATCGGGCGCACAACAAACAGCTGGCACGTATGGATTCAGTCCGATTGTATGAATAATCGATTGCACAATTGCATGATTCGATGGATTCACATCCTGCAATTGCTTCCCTGTCAGCTACTACTCGTTGTTATATAAAAAACAGTAGCAACCGACACATAAAAAAGCATCATTGTGAAGGATTTCTGCTACTCCTCGTTTGCCACATTTTATAATGCAATGAAGCGCTTAGGCTTCTATCGTCTCCTATACAGCAAAATCATACACATTTTGACTTTCTGTTAAAAACGTCAGTTGTCAATTATTCATACGAAAAAAAAAACTCGAATGAATATAGTGGGACAAATGCAAGGAAGCCGTATTAAGAGACCTTCTGAAGAGGAAAAGGACAAGATCCACTACAATAATGTGCTTCAAACGATGTCGGTGCAATGATCCAATGCTCCCATCCGATATCACGAAACTGCACCAGCAATTTTCGTCGTGCACATTTCTGAAAGAAATGATCCTTTCAGAAACGCACATGAATTAACCAAAGAAATATGAATAATTCCTTTTTGTGTTCGACCAGCTGTTATGAATCCTTATCAATAAATCACCATAATACCATATTGTCAAAGGAATGCATCAATATCATGCCGTTCTTTTTTTCATTCCAACCTGTTTGACTATGTATGTTATGAACATCATTCATTCATTGTATTATACTTGCTCCATTTGCATTTATTTTAGTGCACTGAATTGAACATTCTTTTTCGCTTACCATTCCCGTCAGTTTTTGATCAGATCATAACTCATAAAATACGATCAAACAACCACTGCTACTTTAACGATTAATTGCGCATCTCATATGCATCGATGGCGATCAAACTTTTCATGATTCTTAACATACCTCAAGCGGTAAAACTGCTCAAATACAAGATGTTCGAATCCTTGTAAGTTGAAATTACAAAATAATTTGAGAACTATAAGACCACTGATTNAACGATTAATTGCGCATCTCATATGCATCGATGGCGATCAAACTTTTCATGATTCTTAACATACCTCAAGCGGTAAAATTGCTCGAATACAAGATGTTCGAATCCTTGTAAGTTGAAATTACAAAATAATTTAAGAACTATAAGACCACTGATTTTTGATTTTCTACTTCGAATTTCTCTAAAATTCGAAATATCTGTGTGTTCATACATGGATCTGCTATTTTGATAGTCATGGAGCGTAATTTTTGCTTCAATAAGCGCACCTATTCGTATTCTGCCTTCTCTTGGGAAGAACTGAGTAAGCAATCACGTAATTTGTTGACGTTGCAACGATATTGAAAAAGTGCTCGAAAGAAGGCAAGAAAAACACTCGAACATCTAACCTGTTCGGTGCGTTGTGATCCTCCCAGTAACACAACTGTTAGATCGTCATGGTCTGATTCGGGTGCTTTTGATGGCTCCAATACCCCTTCTTTGTCGTTCACTGCTGTACCAAAACCCATCATCGGATCTATCTTATGCGCTCTATTCTTTCCACGACCATATGCTGATTTTCGCATCTGAAAGTTCGATTTTCCATAAATAGCCAAGAGACTAGTTTCATTGAATACGCCGAAATGCACGATTTTTGAAAATCAGCTTTCCAAATTTGTTGTTGCACTGATTTTAAGCCTGATCAGTACTAATTCATTGCGGTGATGTTAAACAATCGAAATTCAATCGATAAATATCGAAAATTTCGGTAGGCCCCTCATTGACTGGATTTTGACTCAGGTATTTTTGTCATTCCCGTAACTGCCAGAGTTCGATTATTTTCAAAATAGATTCAAGTAGCACGTAATCAAGCCCGGATTCTATACTGACTGCCATCATTGGTTGGATATAACGCGCTAACTAACCTTTTTGCGGCTCTGTAACATTCTTGGACCCATGTTCCGAAATTGTTGAACATGCATATGCAAACGATCTGCTTCGTTTGCATTGTCTTCACTCTCCGAATATGAGTAATACCCAGAAGAACGCTTCATTCGGTGTCGTTTATATACTTCAGCGTTATCTTCTTCATCTACAGATATTTTCAAATCTTTGAATGCAGTGCTCAAAGTAACAATCGTTTCTGTCGAATCGAACAATTACAAAAGTTTTTTGTTCAGTCACTCACATTTTTGCATATATAGGGCATTATTATGAAGCTTTTGGCTGGTGACTTGCTATTCAATGCACTTTTCATGACATTTAAATTTCATGACATACAATTTTCAATCTTTTATTTTTTCAAAATGTCAGGTTATTCGGGTAAAAAATGAATTACCACTATCAAATTGATCATGATTACGATGGTTATTATCATCATTATCTTCCTCATCCTCATTATCCTCTTGTGTATAAAGTGCTGTTTGCATTCTTTTTTTATCAATGAGCACCGGAGCATCCGAATAAACCAGCAGAAATGGTGTATTCCTCCTGATCAGATCATAACACGCCATTGGTCGTCCTCTTCGTAAAAACTGAAGAATGAAAAGAGTGTCTCTTATGAATGCAATTTTTGTTCGTTAAAATTTGTGGATAATTTTCATACTTTTATGAATGCATCTCAAAGAATATTTTTATGTGGTTATTGACACCATTAAAGTCGTATGAGGTGCTGACGATTGAGCAGAATTATGACAAAAAAAAATAGCTTCGCTCTTCAGCACTAAAACAATTGATGAGTTTTTAAAATAAAGTTAAGATTGTGTGAATACTTGAATGTTTATAGTTGAACGATTTGAACGAATTGCGTCGACAACAACTTGAGTTGTATCATAGCTAAGCCAATCATCAGAGACCAATTTTGGACGTAATTTCATAGTATCCGGTCTTGAGCAACCAATCGACGTGGTGCACAAAGCTACCGCAGTAACCAATTTACGCACTTTTGAGGCGCGATGCTTATGTCGTATATTATAGTGTAGTTCTGCTCGAATAATCTGCTCAATGAACAAACATATGCACACATTCACGGATGGATATATTTTGAAACTATTCAGTATGAATGATGAAACAATACGAGAATTGCCTTGATCGGTGCAGACCATTTGTTTAGTATCAAAAAGTGCATTGGATATTAGTGCTGAATTCCAAATCAATTCCAAATTCATCAAAAAGATCCTCTTATGAATGGTTCGTTTTTTTTTTTCAAATTATTAACGACGGGAAGCCATATAATATTTGTTGATTAATACTGTCTCATTATCATCCAATGAAACAATCATCACACAGCTGAGGACATCCAGCTTTCCATGATGAAAATGAATTGACAACATTTAAACAGATTTTGATTTTGAATGTATGGATGAACACAAGTCATGGAAATACTATCGAGAAAATTCAGCTAACCCTTTCTGATTGCTTAATTGTATTCAGCTTGAAAGATAGCGCTTCTTCACCAAGAAAACTACCTGCAATAAATTTCACTCATGTTGCATTCAACTGCTCTGATTAGTGTCCCATACGATGCTTTCAACATTCCACACACATTCACCACTCAATACTATAATAAATATGGAAAAGAACATCGAAAAACACATAAACATATCCCATCCCTATCAATCATATCTATTTCCCATTGCACATACGTATTACCCACTCTACAGTGTAATAGAATCAGATTATTCTTCACTCATAAACAAATAAAAACAAATCTTCTTTAGATCGTTGCCAAAAGAAATGTTTTGCATGTGTCCAACGTCAAATCTCTTGACATTTGAAATGTAATAGATCACATTTAAATTCATCCTCACTTGAATGTTGCTTTACTCAATCCGATGAACCACCCTAAAGGTTATTTAACAAAAACTTCTATTCTCTGTCCCTCGATAGAAATGTACAACAATTCATTGATGTTTTCATCATCTTTTGTTGATATTAGCTTATTGAAGTGGTCATTGCAACATAGTTCAAGTCCTTATGGATCATTGCAAATGGTTTATATTTGCGCAAATAAACAGATTAAATAAACAATTTATGACAATCTAATAGGATGCCACTTCAGTGCCTACTATGATTACAAGATATTGCAGATAACGTTCAAGGACGACATCGCTTCCTTATGAAACGTTGTACCTCACGTAATCTAAGGTCTAAGAAACAAAGCTATTCGAATTCAAGCGAACACTATCTAGTTCGAATTCACTTAGCCTCAGTACTTCATATTAAATACTCACAGGCAGCGTGTAGTACGCTTTTTGGTGTGGTTTGTTAACAGTTTCAGCGAAAACACCCTCTTTGAACTTAGAAATTTCCATCATGAAACTTGATTGCATCTCACATCTTTGGATTCAAACTGAATATTTGTAAGCTTTATTCTTTTATCATAACTACCTATCTGATCGAAAAAAAACTGGATGAATGTGATTAAAGAGAGAATAAGACAAACGTTTCTGTAGCTTATTTATTAGCTTGCTATTTAAACGAGCAACATTAATTCATTACGAATCAATGCGCTTTTTTGGATAAAAGACCGCAATTATAATTATAGCAGTATCAGATGAATTGTGGTGAAATCGACAGAAGAGAATTCAAGCGATGGAACGAATGATTAACGTGATATCATACCGTAATGTGACAGATGAACAAGTGTGTCTTATTAAAACGAGTTTTGGGTACGCATTTTGATTTGACACGCCAATTAGGCGCATTGCCGACAACTTAAGTGATCCACTATAAATGAATTGTACATATGCATTCGATTTATATGTTAGAGAATTGAGTACATATCTGGCATAACGTAATCAAAATACATTCTATTTAGCGACCAGAAAATTGCAGAAGTATTCGGGAAAGTTAAATTTGAATGATAGCACATAATAAGATGTCGTATCAGATGTATTGCGTAGGTTTATTTACAAGTTATTGTTTGTCAATGCATACAAGTGCATTTATGTTTTTAGCCGATGCTCATATGGTTTGTAGAACATGACTGAGCTGACCTTTGAGGTAATCATCAAATAGAGTCAGTCTCTCACACAAATGCACTAATCACATTCAGTCTGCATTCATTCAGGGAACGGATGGATCCAACTTATAAACAAAGACGAAAACAAAAACACTGTATCGTTACATTAGCGAATAGAAGTTAGCAACAAATTATGATGTATCTTCTAGATCAGTGATAATTCGCTTTCAAATTGCAAGACACATGATCATCTGCAACTGAATACTTATCGAATGAACATTTACAAAAGAAAATCAACAATAAAATTCGCAACTGATCATACCGGCAGTTGGGCTGATGCTTCTGACGATATTGCCATCTAAATTTCTAAAATTACCATTTCTTTGGTATTTTTCAAACAGTTTTTGCATATATTTTGAAGCTGCATCAGCAGTTCTCGAAACCGGCCTCATAACCTCGCCTAAATAATCAAATACACCGATCATTGTTATAATAATAATACAGTGAACAATGAATACTGAGGCTTCTGAGATTTTCTTTGATAGTTTCAAAGCCGCAAACAAACAGAATTTCCTTGCTGAATTTGATTGAACACAATTATTTCACAAAGAATAAGTGAGTTTGGAAGTTTGAAAAACTGATATACATGACTGCGTTTGAATAATAATGAAGATAAGGTATCTTTAATCAGTGAAAAAAATCAAAGCAAAATACTAGTTCTAACAGTTGCACTTACCCGGCCTGGGAAGTCTCTTAAAGTCGAGCAGTTCCTTAACCGCCTTTTGCAGAACATCCTTTTGTTGTTCGGTTGGTATGGGACTGTTGAAGGCAGCGAAAACTGAGTTTAGTAGCGCAGTAAAGGTTAACAAAATTCGAAATCGTGAGAATATCATTGCATCGCTGAAAAAATATACATCACATTCATGAGTAAGCACAATATTGCGGTCAATTAGCAACAACATTTCAAATTTATGCAGTGAAAATATCAATCAAGTTAGGAAAGATCTCTCTCTCTTTCGGAAAACGAAATAAAATTTCTCGAAAATTGAGATATATATCGAAAGTAATGATGAATGCAATTCTATAACTGAATGAAGTGAGAACATTGTATTATTATGAAAAAAAGGGTTGCTTTGTAAGCGATCAATTATGAGCAGAACGTAACCAACTCAGTGAGGAATAACAATTGCTGCAAGGTCATTCATAAGAGTGAGGGGGCAGAAGAACTTATCAAATCATTGATAAATGATTGATAAACGGATGAAAGCACATTCCTTGTGTACATAGATGACGAATCAACTAGGAATGTCTATCAGCATTCAATGCCGAACAATAGTCGCTATAATATCCGCCAATTAAATCTTCAAAATAAGATGACAAACACTTGATTCTATCTTAAGATGCATGATGATCTAAAATAGAGTTGGGTGGCGACTCTGGGACATGAGGCTTTCGACTCTACTCTCTGACCTCGAACATCCAGATCTCTAGAGCCTTCGAGCGCTCATGAGGTTTAGAGCCCCTCTCCCCTATCCTCAGGTGCTCTGGGTTTTGGAGTCCCCGATCCTAACCAATAGCTTCGCAACCTTTCGACCTCAGCGGTCCATGAGCCTAATTTTGCCCTGACTCAACCCTAATCTACCATAGATATTTTAAACGCTAGCAAAACGCCAATTGAGTGAAGCTTTGTTTACGAAGGCGTTTGTTGACCCACAAAATAGAATGAGTTTTATAAATCAATCGACACATCAAAAGAAATTAAGCGAAGAGATTTGGAGAAGCATACTGGATAAGAGACAAATATTTTTTGAATATTTTTAGCTACTGCAAAGCATGGACGCAAACAAATAATATGCGTGAATTATGTGATGCTTCATTGGTTACCGAGTATTTAGGGTGCGTAACTTGCATGTGATAGTAAAAGGAACGAATTGGCTGAAAGAAATCCTTAATCGGTCGCAGAATCAAAGCATTTTCACGATAAAACAACGGAGCGGAACTGAATTTAGATACGGTAGCAGTACGCATCATCCACTTATTTCATTGATCAACCATAAACGATTCATTCACTGCATCAACATTTATTGAATAACCGAATATTCATACATAAGAATCATCAAATTCTCTGTATAATGAAGCGAAATTAAAACTAATCAACAAATATCACTTATCAAGAGTTTCTAAAAAGTATGAATTTCAACAGTAATAGCAACGACATCAATAATAATAATAATAATAGATACGAGGATCATACAAATGTTTCGATGTAATATATTTTTGCATTAAAAATATGTTTTGCTGGTACCGTTGAATGTGTGACGCCATATTGAGTGACGAAAACAAGCTGAGAAATGATCAAATAAAAGAGAATGTTAACTGATCAGATTTCACTAGAATTCATTCGTTCGTACTTGTCACACCATCAACAACGAATCAATTGGCATACATAGCGATCGAGGATGCTCCGCCTTGAATGTCATTGTGCGATTAAGAAAACGTAGACAAATGAGTAGTGATTTTGAGAATGAAGTAACCAGAAATCATTAGTGGATGATTGGAATATATATCATCGATAAACAATGGAATAATGCTCAAAGTAATTACTCAAAGTAAAAATCTTTCAGCAAAATGAGACACTTCAAGTGGATATAGTAAAATGAATTATTGAAGCAAGGAATTGTCCTGATGTCAGTCATAAAAATGAAATTGTTTGACTCAATTTTTGAAATGCGCATGCAGAAATGGTACTGGTTTTTGCTACACAAGACATAAATGGCGAGCGAACTTTAGTCGTGGAGGTTGGGTCGATAGTTCGAACAAGCTCAAGCTTAGCCTTAGGATAACACCTGGGCTGAGCATTATACTGGGTCAGAGCCTTATGTTCGTACTTACGTTTACGCTCTGGACACCTATATAGGACACGTGCAGTGAGCAATCATTTTTCCATTCAACAATGTTCCAAACACTGTTCCAAACTGAACGTCAACACTTCTCAGAGGAACCTATTCGAGACATCGAATTAGGCAAATGTATCTATCGTATCGTATCATCCATGTATCTCAAGGCGGGGAGCTGAGATTTTCAATTAATTGTTTATATAAGAAGAGATGATTAGTGGACATTTATTTGTAACTGGACACCATATAGGACATGTGTAGTGAGCAGCAGACTACTACCATATGCATACGAGCTTTTAATATTTAGCCGATTGGATGAATGGGTGGACAGAAATCGAATGAATTGTTTATTATTAAGCGATCATTAATAAGGCATATACGAGATGATGCTTATCGTAAGGTGATCTCATGCAATCAGCTATACTCACTCATCACTATTGCTTCAAAATATTCGCTCGTTTTTCAGTTTTAATTTCCCTCTATGAATTAGAGCAAAATGTTAGGTGAATATCGAACATCAGAGCACAAGTATGGACGTTAAGAGGAGATCGATCGCTTAAGAAATGCGAACAACTAAAAAATTATGAAGAACGGTGACTGATGATGATGTTGTTGCTGAAGTGTGAAACAACATTAAACAATAATCATCACTGAAAGAGGATTGTGATGAGGGAGAGGAGTTGAGCGAATGGAGAGCAGCGTAATAATGAGGACAAAGAGTTTGGGTTGCTATCGAAGCGAGCAGCAACAAGCACAAAAGAAATTTGATTCTGATTGTACGCACACCTGCTTGAACGGCAATTATGACATCGAATCGCAACGCCAATTCTCTTAATTCTTTGATTCACAGAAAAAAAATTATCAATGTCTTCATTATTATGCGATTTGCTTGATCTATTTTCATCAGTCAACATCATATAGTGAAAACACCATCCGATTATTGTACATTGATATATCTATGAGTTTGAAAGAATGAGGAAGTGAGATACCCTTAAAGCCAGTTACAGCCGAAAGTACGCGAATAACGTTCGAAATAAAAAAATTCTTATTATTCCTTCTTTTGATCAGGTTCAAAAAGAACTAAAAAATTTTGCTCGCGCATCCCAATGAGAGCATTTTGTAGCCCTCAAATCTCCATTTCTTAATGATTGGCATGACAAAATGTATTTCTAAACTATGTGTACATTACCTAAACAGATATACAAATACTTCTAAAACTTTGCAACTGAAATGTTCACAACATAAAAAGCACCGATACAAAGGGTGCCCAAAAAGTACAGATGTGACAAGAAACTAAACGGAGTCTAAAAAATTTTAATGCAACGAAATCTCGATCAATACATCCTTCAAAAAGGTTTTCGTTTTTGGGAAGATTCCAGTCGAAATGAAAATTTGCATACGAGATCATCTATTGATCACTAATTCAATTTGCCTTCTTATATCATGATATGCTTATTTATCTGATAATTAAGACCGGTGTTAACGTATTCTGTTTATACTGGTGAATTTCAAAACGCTGATCATGAAACTGTTATTCATCTACATTTGAGAAATGTATCAATGGAGGGAATCAGTCATATCATTAAAATATGAAATTTATGATATTTCTTGTGAGATTGACAAAAATAACGAACAGTTGATTGGCGTAACTTGTTTCAAGCGATAATTTCACAACTTGCAACAGCGGCATACCACGACCGTCATCATCATTTGCATGAAACGATCGAATCTCGAAAAGTATGACGTTTCCTATTTTATGTTCCAACAGGTGATCCACAATTTAATTGAATATATGTATGAAGTCACAATAGGTCAAATCCCAATCAATACATCAAACGAATTTAAAAATTGCTGATAACCAAAAAATTATAAAAACGGCACAAAAATCCAATTAATAGTTGAAATAATAATAAACTTCATTATGGAGATTTGTTCTGATGAACATTAAACTACCATATAAAAACCTTTTCTGAAGGTATTCGTTTGATAACACTAAGCTTGTTTTAGTGACCTGTCGAACAATCATACACTTCGTTGTGCATGAAGCAACGAGGAGTGAGCGTAAAAAACACTCGCATTTGGTGTGATCAAGATAAAGACCTCTTCTTCCAGTATGCATTCATTTCTTCTGTCTTGTGCATTTTTAGAAAATCACTGCAGATTTATCACATGAAATCAAGTTCACTAATTCATAAATAATAAAGGTTGGCTCTTTTTGGTGCGTATAATACAATTCACAATGAGTATCAAATGTTTGTTGCATAGATTTATTTCATAAATTTCACTCTGAAAATACGAATTCAAAAATTGCTGATAACCAAGAAATACGATTACATCTGTGCTGTTTATTTACTTGAACACTACTTTCAAAGCACAGATGATAATTTTTGCAATAGTTTCATTGCCGCACAGCAAAAGCACGACATTCTTTTTTTTCCAGTTTTGTGATTTTAGTGAAACTTTAAAAAGCTTGTTGTGAGACAGACACATATGTCCGAGGATTGATGGATTTTGGCATGAGTTATTTGGATGTCATAATGAGACAACAATAAACTCATGTTGTGTTGTTAAGACAATCAGTGATGAGTTAAGAGAGAGGAGATTTATTTGTGTTGTCGAATGCCTTCACAACAAATGTTATTCACAAAATGTTCCGATGGTCATTGCAGATACGACATGCTGCATGACGCCAAAACCTCACGGGAAAATGCTAGTGATTGAGTACATAAATATTTTCAGAACAGCTCACCAAAATTCATTGCATTTCACAATTTTCTTTCGATTATGATTGAGAAGTTTAAACATATGTTTTGTTATTGACATTAATTTACATTCGAAACTAAATGCTGCAAAATCGTTCAAAACTCTATCCAAAGTGTAAAGCTTTAAACAATCGCAAATGTAATCACTCAGATTCGAATCAAACAAAGAAAAATATATGATCAGTTACTGTAATATGAAGACATCAGCTGAAGAGAAGGAAGTAGGTGTAATGA